AAAACTAAAGGCGGAACATAATATTAGACACTACGTACGACGTACGCCCCATAAGCTTGAGTTATCGGAGAATGTCAACAATGTATATTAAGCTAAAACCCTCCTTCACGTGTAACCCTACCCGGTATATGGAGATGAGGGTTGAAGGTTTTGATCATAGACAACCATTAGGCCCCAAAAGTTTATCATGACATAATTCATAGGAAGTTATTTTGAGTATATAGCAAAAAAAACTCTTATTATCAAATCTCTTTTTTTTTTGTTCTTTCAATTTTGCAACTTGTTTTAATGGCACCTTTACTGGTTTGGTAGGTGTGATAGTCAGAGTACGTGTAGCTAAAGAAAGTGATGAAAAATAGCAACAGTAGTTTCCTCCTTTATTTTTTTTTTAGGTGAGACCCAAGGGTATCCACCGCCGACAGCAGTGACTAATCCCTTTCGCCGCGGGAGCTCTCCCAATGGAGGTAAACGGCTGGCCACGAAATGCTTGTGAATCATAATATGTTAGAATGTTTACCGATTTAATAAGTTCACCAAACAGTGGACAAAATTAGTCCAATTTAATTCAAATAATTCATTCGAAGCAGAACCACCAAACGAGGCCCTATATATCGCGAATGGTTTGCTCACAAAACAGTGCTCTTCAAAAAGATAATTATCTACCTCATGGCTATAATCACCCACCTAACAAAGAGCTCTGGACTTGAAGAGCTCTTAAAGCTGGTTGGTCAGCTTTAGCTGCACCATTGCTGTCCTGTTTAGACTTTCATCTAAACGTAAACGATTTAAATTTGTTGATTATACAGGGAAATCTGACCGTTCTAAATTTTCGAACTGTCACAATCACAAGTTTAGGAAGAAGCACTTTTCTGTATAACAGTAAAGTAGATTTGAAAACAATTCTTGACACAGTTGGAGTGATATATCCAATGCTACACCAAAGAAAGCCCACATATAACAACTACAACATAGACACTAAAATCTATGAAAACCCCACGAATGGCTTGGTAAACCACCAAACCCCTTTCCAAGAGCTTCACTGCCTCAACCCAATTATGTCCATCTTGAGGGACTACAACTCTTTCTTCCTCTACATCCTCTCGTCTCACGAGGATCATTCGTGCCAGAACAATTGTTACGTCAGTTAGCAGTATAATGTACAGAGGTCTTGAGGCCACAATGCTCTCCGACTTCACCAAGTTCACTCCAAACAATGCATAATCAACATAAGACAACACTACCAAGAATGCTATTATGAGACCACAGAAAATGCGCATGCTCTCCGATTCTACAATGCACGAGTTTAATCGTTTCGAAGTGAAAAACCTTGCCCTCCTATGCGTGATTGCAAGTTCTGTATCGGTTGGTGGTGCCTTTTGAACTATTGATGTGCCAAATTGTGGTTGAACTTGGGTGGTGCCATCAACACCATGAGGTTGCAAAGTATGTGTAGTTGTGTCACATTGACAAGATGAAGGTCCATCTTGGCTTCCAGTCTCTGCATTGTTTTGCCTTGAAACGTCTTCATTGCTAGCTCCATGTACTTTCAGCAATGTAGAATCTGCAGGGGTGCCATCTTTACCCTCAGTACCAGCTGCAAACCAGGAAAATTGATAAGAAAACCACCCATTAATCTATTCAAACTTCATATGAAAATAGTAACACTATTTTCACATTGGTTGGTATAAATGTCTAATAACTTGTTTAGTGGCTCCGGTGCACTGGATTGGAGTTGAGTCTAAGGCAGTCCTTATGAAATCAACCTCTAGATCAGATTTGTATGAAATCAACCTCTAGATCAGATTTGTAAGATACTTGTCCGATTTAATAAGTCCAGTTCCAACATTTATAGGTTCACCAAACAGTGGTCCAATTTAATTGAAATAATCCAGTCTAGGCCGAACCCCCAAACGAGACCCTTTATATTGCTAATGGTTTGCTCCAATTTGTCTGTCCAACCCAAAGGCAAAGACAAACGAACCCAGAGCACAAATTTTTTATTAGACCCAAAAGAGGGACAACTTGCCACCAATTGTAGATTTGTCTATAGTGTAAATTAAATTATATATTATGTATATATATATATATATATATTCAATTAATTTTATAAATTAACAAAAGCTGTGGTATTTCATTGAAACAAAAAAAAAAAAAAAACATGAAACATATGATTTCACGGAGTCATAATTAAGAACATGAAGGGTTGGATTTGAATAATTAAATTAAACAACTAGAAAAATTAAATAATTAATGGTACCATTGATGCGATGGGTGTGCAGAGCACGATCATGTGGTGGTAATGAAGGCGATGGTGGCGGTGAGGGAGGAGGGAGAGATTGGATTCGGCCTGTGATGAGAGCCATACGATCCGATTCTCTCTCTACAATTCTTCTTCTTCTCTCTTCTCTGCTCGCGTTGTTGTTCGTTGCCATCTCCTTCCCACTGATTATTGGATTCTTTCTCTCTCTATTGCCTTTCCTTTTCAGCCTTTCGGCCTTTCGACGAGTTCGTGCCCGTCGGGTATTTCCGTTAGAGATCAACGGAAGGAATGATGCCTTTACGATGTCGTTTTGTTGGTCAAGAGGTCAACTCTATTTACCCCTACTGGACCGGTTTGGAGTTGGGCCATGGGCTAAGGTTTACATAAAAAAGTTTTAAAAATAAATAGATAAATATTGTTGTTAAATCAGTCTTTGGTTTTATTCAATATTGCGTCCGTTTCAATTGGTTTGTAGTGTTTTGGGTGCATTCTTTATAGTTTTATATTCTAAAAAAAAAAAAAGTTTTATTCAATATCAACATCCCTAAAAAAAATGAAATAAAGATCTAGACTTCGTAAAAATACAATCGATAATTTTAATAAATACACCCAATGACACCAATTCTTATAGGGCTCGTCAATGGGCCGGGCCGGGCTTTAAAGAAGAGAGAAAATATCAGACTGGGCCAAGCCGGGCTTTTTTAGAAAATTCAAAACCTAAGCCCATCTCATGGGCCGGGCCGAAATGGGCCTAAAAAATAATAAGTGTAAAAAAAAATTTTTTTTTTAATAAGGATGGTATGAATAAATATGCAAATGTTTGGTGATGTGTTAAAGAAAAGTATGATTATATTTGGTGGTACGATTATGTTTGGTGATATGATATGTTGTTCGTCTTATTATATATATATATATAATTGTTGTATTAATAAATGACACAAATTAATGTGCCAATTATCCAATTATAAATTATAAATGAGTAGAATTCAATAGAAACACAATTTTTCAAACAAGCAACACACACACACAAAAATGAAAGAGGGGGATTTGTTATTCATATATATATATATATATATATATATATATATATATAAAATTGTTGTATTAATAAATGACACAAATTAATGTGCTAATCATCCAATTATAAACTAGGAATGAGTAGAATTCAATAGAAACACAATTTTTCAAACAAGTAACACACACACAACAAAAATGAAAGAGGGGGATTTGTCATTCAAGTGATGTAATCCTAATCCTAAATCCTTATTTATACATAATTATATATGTATGCGGGCCTAATGGGCTGGGCCGGACTTTTTTTCGATAGGCCGGATGGGCCCCCATAGACCCATGAGCCCGTAGGCCAAATGATGAGGCCTAAATTTTTAAGAAAGAAAAAAATCTAAATTGGCCCATGCTAAACAAATAATTAAAAGAACTAAAAAGCTTATTAGAAAATAAACCAACCATGCGACAATAGAGAACGTACAATATGTGTTTTTGATTCGTATGTATGTAAGTTGTAATTGTGGATAATGTAATTTCTAAATTTAAAGAATATTTTAGGTGTATTTGGTTGTATACAATTGGTAATAGGAAAAATTTCTTACAAGAAAATAATTAAGCTATATAGAGACTTTATTTGTATTTACATTTCGCCTTTCGATACAAATTTTCCGTTTCTGTCATTACACGTTAGATTGGTATTTTAGGTTTGAGTAGGGGGTGCTTTTGGTTTCTGAATCAGGGATTTTAATCACTTTGTGAGTTATGTGTGATTCTCTACAGATCAATTCTTGTTGTTCTGTTTAATCACGGGAGAAAATTTATCTATATTTGACACCATAATTGCTTTGTACTTGTTTCTATCCCCTCTTATCAATAAAATGATATCGTCCTTTATAAAAAAAAAAAATAATAATAACAGAAAGACACTAGTATGACCAATATATATACACTATCGTTTGCCAACTGTTAAACTTGAATTCTAATATTTACAAGTCAAGAATTTTTTTGGTGTTATATGTTTCTTTAGACAGAGAAAGTCCCACTTCAAAAAAAAAAAAAAAAAAGAAGACAGAGGGAAGTCCACCATGGTTGAACCCGTAAAAGCTGGATACAATTAAGCACCTAAATCATTGGGGGTAAATGTCAAACCAGATCCGAATGGTGATGTAACCACACTGTTTGCAGTTTGAAAAAACAAAGCTAAAAACAACACAGATGGAAATTAAAAGCACTTTTGGAAAAGTAAAAAATCAATTCTCTTGGAGAATATATATTCAAATTAACAAAATGGACGGTTATAGAATCGCAAGATTAAATGAATTGACTTATAAAGTAATTTAATCACCCCAATTTATTATCATTCAATCCAAAACTCCAGCTAATGACGTTATTAATGTCCCACATATTGTCCTTAGATTTAGCATTAGATTATTGAGTGTGATAGCTACACCACCTAATATTCCGATGAGATGTTATTAATCCATTGAAGTTATAACACGTGGTGAAAATACATATGTTAAGTTATGTATTCAAATTTTTTTTATCGGTAAATATGCACGTGTTATAATTTATATGAATTACTTATTCATGTAGTGTTACGATCACACAGATTAAAAAGAAAATCTTATATTGTGCTACGATCACATCGAAAAGTTAGCCTAGCTATACAACATATTTATAATGTTTATAGCAAACCCATCATGTTGCTTCCAAAACAGTCCTAAATAGTTTACCATGTCCAAAATTTTCAGAAATGGTCAAAATCTCGGGAAAATAGTCAAGAAATCCACATACGTTCAATTATTTCCATCCATGTTGCTCCCCAGTATCTGAAAATTCCCATCCAAATTAATGCATCCGTTTTCCAAAAACAATTGTATCTTATGTTACTTTCTTTGCTTGTTTATTTATAAACCACTCCACCTCCAAACTCTTTTCACTCAAAGCCATCGCATTCACATTACACAAAATTCCTCAGAAACAAAATGCCCAAGAAACTCCAAAAGTATCTCCGAGATTACCTCTCCAAGGTAAAGAAACCACCCCCACAAATCCTGTTTCCCTCCAGAAAATGGATCCGATCAGGTTGTAAGCACCCAAAAACCCTATCATTTGCCATCAATCGTGACCGAAAGGAAGCTCATAACGACAACGATGATGCAGCCTCACTCTCGGATATTGATCAGTTTTTGTTTGAGAATTTCAGGTCACTTTATCTGAAAGACGACGACGAAGTTGAAGACGATGAGAGTGAAAAAAGGGGTAAAGAAGTCCGTCATACCGAGGTCTTTTGGGATAAAACTCTACGCCTGAAAGAAAGTCGTGATCAGCAACACGACACTGAAAGCTTAGGCGGGGTTTTGTTTGAATCCCCTCGATTCAATATCGATCCACCCGCGGTGGATCTTTGTGGCTCTCACCGGTTCTTTGTGTCCCCTGGCCGAGCATCGAGCTCGGTCATGGAGGAGGCTCGGCTAAGCACCACCACCACGTCCGAGGACTTAGGCTCAAGCTCAATCTCAACTCCAACCCTAAATGATTCAGCCACTACGTCGAACTCTAATAACAAGGATCATGCAAAAGACGTCACGCTTCCCAACGACTGCATCGCCGTCTTGACCTACTCCCCGAGCCCCTACCACGATTTTCGAAGATCCATGCAGGACATGGTGGAATCCCGTCTGCGAAATCATGCAAAGGTTGATTGGAATTTCATGGAGGAGCTTCTGTTTTGCTACCTAAACCTGAACGAGAAGAAGTCTTACAGGTTCATATTAAGTGCCTTTTCGGATTTGATTGTGGATTTGCGTCAAAATTCGAACAGGGGTTCTGAGAGGTCGTCGTCGTCGTCATCATCAAAATTTTGAAAACGCAAGAAAAAGGGGATCGTGGATTTCAGCAAAGAATTTGAACATGAATATTGGTGATACAGAAAATATTAATGTATTTTTAAGATTGTTAATTTTTTCTGGGTTTGTTCTCGGTAGTGCTCACATGCAAAATGCTTTGCTTGTATTATAGACATGATGTAGCTTTCAAGAAAATGAAAAGACTTTGTTTATCGTATAATTTTTTGTAGTTTTGTGGTTTTTGGTGAGATTTTATGGATTTTTGATAGGGTCTTGTCTGTTACATGTTCCCCGGAGCTCAGATATATAGGACCTTTAATTTAATTATTTTTTGGAGCTTTTATTTTAGTATTTAGTATGATGGGCCAATGATATATATATATATATATATATATATATATATATATATATATATATATATATATATATATATATAAGGTGACGTACAAGTGATATGGTATGCATAGTACAATAATGTGAAACAATAATTTCATAATGCCAACAGCTAAAAGAGAGAATTGCCCCATTAATCCTATACAAAAATAGTGACCGAAAAACATGTATATCGAAAATAAAAATGTTTAGTTTCTCGTATGTAAGGAGTTATTCCTCCTTTAGACAAATCAATCTAGCATGTGTGCATAAACTTCTCTTTTTGTAATTTAAATGAGTTATTTTTGCATGTGTCAAATTGTTGTTTGTCGGTAAAGAAGAATAACTTTTTACATCTAAGGAGACAAGCAGTGTTCTTCTATAAAATGTTTCTGTGTTATCTGTTATATAGATTCTTTTTGGATTTGCCACAATGCAACATTACTGATTTTTATGTTTTTCTAGTTATGCGGTTTTATGGCCCTAAAAGGTTTTTTGTTTTTTTTTTGTTTTTTTTTTTTAAAAGGAAATTTTAGATAGGGGTAATTTGGAAATATTGGTGGTTTATATATTTTCGGTCAAATGTTTCCATCAGACTTGATTTTGAATTTCATCAACAGCTTGCAAAGTACTATCTTCTTCAAACTACAGAGAAGCCAAATTCAATGCCATATCTTCACCGAGGACTTTTAATTATACAAAGTGTGGCAGAGCAAGAATGAATTTTTATATAGCCAAAATTTCAAATAGATCTTGAAAACCAAAACCAACTTTTCTAAAGGTTTTGGCAATACAAAACTAGCTCTGAGCTGTAACAGCAGCATCTGCAACAACATTGCTACAGAATTAGAATAATGAATGTGTCCCCTTTTAATGTTTGACCGTCCCCGGGCACCGCCATACTTACAACGCCCAGGTCACTGTGGCAGTTTGCCACTTCTATATTGAATTGAACTCTCTTCATCATGAAAGGCTGCAGAAGCCAATAAGCAATAGTGACAGCTGCCTTTGCAACTAATTCTCCATGTACAATTAGAGCTGTAGCTTTATATTCAACCACAGAACAAACTGTAGCTTCATGATCCAGAGCATCCTTTCGAAGTCTCCTACGCCCAAGAGACCTCACATAAAATAGAGCAGTTTCTTAAACCCCAGTAGCATTGAGATAATCCAGAGTAGCTTGACCTTAAAAAGCAGGTTCTTCTCTTATATCCATATGAATGGCAAGAGGCAACAATTATCTGCTTTAACATTCAGGTAAGCCCAGCAAAAACTACCTATCAGAAAGTAAGCTGTGACTAATAAATTGTATATTTCAGGAAAGATACTGAGGCCCTGAACTTGAAGTTCTGTCTTTCTTCATCAACTAAACTGTCATTTTCTATCATGTAAACCACAATGATACAAGTATTTACACGTCCCCGACTGCTCTAGGAAAATTCATGAAGTTTTATGGAGCCAGACACACAAAAACCCTCTTAAGAGTTTTATTTTCCTGCATGACAAGTATTTTATTAGAATAATTTATTCAGAAAATTAGAGCTAGGCACCTCAACAAATTTCATCTTTTTAAACACGATCTGAAGTATCTAAATTTTCTTTTACACCTTACATTAGGAGGATGTTTTTTTAAAAAAAATTTAAATAATTTTGAAGTACATGTAAGTAGATATCAAACTATCAAATTAGAGCATCTTATGGTTACAGATAAAGTAGAATGGACTTTTATACTGAAGGTATGTTTATTATTACATTATTTTAATTTTTATACTCCTTTTTTTTTTCTTTTTTTTCTTTCTGATATAGTTATCATTCCAGGATATCAAAAAATAAGCGAATTATTTTGAAAGCTAAATTCAACAAACAATTCCGTAAAATTACTTATCTCATAATTTCAACAAATGCAAACATTATTCTGAAACCTAAATTTGATGTAACATCGAATTATAACTTTCCCTAATTTCTTCTACTAGTAATCTACTTGCTTGAAGACCAAGGAGATCAAATAAGAACTTTATTCTTAGCATTCTTTATACAAAAAGAGGCAAAGAAAACCATACAAAAGCCTACAAGATGCATATAGATAGATATATGGGGTTGGGATACACAGTGGATCCTTAACTTGGGTCATTACTAAATCTACTCATGTGCACATGTGCATACGAAGATGTCCTCTTCCCAAATTGTGAACATGAACCAAATGAATAGATGATTTGGATCATTGGACCACATTATAGGATGGTCCCACAACGTGGTATTTTCCTTTCTTAATAAGGTTTATTTTCTAGATATTCTCCCTTCATCTATAGAAATTGCGCTTCATCTTAGCCAAAGGGTCGAGAAAGGTCTATAGTTAAATTTTTATCTCATTCGCAGCAAACGTTATAATTCAGGTCTTTAGAAATTCTAGATTTCCTTACCTTGGATATCTAGAGCCCGTCGTTTGTTTGAAAATAGTGCTCATACATAGAGTGATACTTTACTGGGATAAAATCCTTAAATCTGTTGACAATTGTGACAGAGAAATAGTGAGAACCTGAAATATGATATGTCAAACGCAAAGTCTGTGTTTGTGTGTGTATGTACATACATACATAGAGAGAGAGAGAGAGAGAGAGAGAGAGAGAGACACACACACACACACACACTTGTGATCTTTTACTCATTGGTTACTATAAAACTCATGATCACCAACCATTCATCAAAATTCAACAGCTCATATTCAAATTCTAAAAAAAGTGCTTTTCTTTTAGAATAAATGTTAGCCGTTGGTTTTTGAAACAATTGGTGAACCACATTTTCATGCTCACCAAGCAGAAAATATGAGTCTATATATGAAGTATAGATAGGAGAATTACCTTTTAAGAAGAGGAAGCCTCTCTCGTCCGGAAAACAGGCTTGCAATGGATTGTAAAACTTCATTCATCTTCATAGCTTTGGACTTAAGTGCCTTCATCAAATTTACAAATTCTCTATATTCCAAAGTGCTAAGTTTTTCTTCAACCTGTAATGCATAAGGAAAACATCCTCAACAACCCCAAGTTGTTCACTGACTATTTAACAGGAAAACTGTGTAATTCCAGAGAAGGAACACTAACTAACACAATTCTGACAGAAAAGTTCTATAAAGTTCAAATGGCTAGCTACTGAATTAACAAATTTACACAAGGGATTCAGGTAGGCCATGAGAAGAAGAGAGGGTTATTTCTGGAAATGTCATAGTGAACAAATGGTAGACTATTGATGTATTTATGTTTCTCAAACTCAAGGAAGATGTGTTTCAAAAGTACGAAACTCTTTTTTCTCTCCCTTTTTTTTTTCTTTTTCTCTTTCTCTTTCTTTTCGGCCATTATCCTTTTTTTTGTTTTTTGTTTTTTTTCTGTTCTTAGTAAGTATTCCACATATTGTAATTTTCTTTCTTTGGGACAGAACCACATAGGGTAAACTTCAGTACCCTTTAAATCTACTTCATGGCTTCAGTATGTACTTTTCAACCATCCTCCCTCAGCCCATTGCGGTGACCCCACCAAACTGCCCCAGGAAATGAACAAGTAATTACTGCCTGTGACTCATGCAACAAGTCTCTAATCTTCCCCGGGTAATCACTTTTAACTATTATCATGACAGTAGATCACAAGACAGTTTTCTGCATCATTTTCTGTCCCCGGGTAAATCCTTTAGTATCCCATTCAGGGTAACAAGTTCTAAAATATCCTAAACAATGCAACAAGGAAATAATTAAGCATCATGCAGACCAACCTGTAAATATAACAGAACGAGTCTAAAGCAACAAGAAGCACGTCAGCTTAAGTTGTTTCTGGAAAACATGTTAAACAGATTTTATATGCATTATGAGCCATCCCCTATCAGTTTCTTCTCAATGGTCCTTTGAATAAAAGCATGCATTAACACAAATCAATAGTTTATATTGCTTTCCAGCCATGGCCCATGAGAAAAAGCATTTACATCATCAGAACGCTCACCTGAACTAGAAACTCAGATCCTCTGGTTTCCTTATCACCAGAGAGCACAGGGATGGATATTGCACTTTTGTTTTTGTTACTTAGAAACTCAGCATCTCCCTGTTGTATGATCCTCTTGTCTTTACGCAGCAATGCTGAACCAACTTGAGCATTTTGTGAACTTGAAGAACTCTCACTTCTCAGATTAATATTGGGAAAACCACCATATGAATCAGAATCTTTTGCAAGAGATGAATGCTTATTAGAATTGTCAATAAGATGTACTGAGTCATGCTCTGTGCTTAATTTACACCTTTTTGCAGAGCAAGGTGTTATGAGTTCTTCGCCTAGTTTCTCATTTTTGCCAGGAAAACCAAATACTTTACTATCTTGACATTGCAGAGTTTCCCTCTCACAAATAAGCAGCTTTTTCCCATTTCGGAATAGATTATTTGAACACTTCAAAGACACAGACTGATCCTTACAGGAAGTAAGAGATGAGCGATTGGCAGGAAGAACTTCCCCTAACAGGCTTGAAAGTTTGTCCCTGCCAGCTTTAAGTAGGGAAGAAGATGACTTTACAGGGCAGTCTTGACTGACTGCTGTTGTCTGCAAGCACAAATAACTAAGAAGCATATCACACTATAAAACAACTTATGACGTAACTATGAGTGTCTGCAGAGGTAATAATTAAAAATTACCAGAGGGAGAAATTTATCCAGATAAAGTTTTTCTGGCGGTTGCTCAGTTTTCAACTCATATATTTTCCCTGATGTTCCTGTAAAATGACTAAAGGTGATCAACATAAGCTGCAGCATTAAAAGGTAGTCACATCACAAAACATGAGA